AAATGTATTTGACATAGAGTCATGAAACTTTACAGGAATGTTGATCAACATGTGTAGTTGTGCACCTGTGTATTTTCGTCTAGATTTATTAAGTATTTTTAGAATTATTACCCTTGACTTAGTAAAATTTTGCAATTTTCAACTTGTGTCGCATGTAACTCAAAAAGATTTGACATAGAGTCATGAAACTTAACAGGAATGTTGATCAGCACATGTAGTTGAGCACCTGGGTATTTTTATCTGGATTTATTTATTATTTTTAGAGTTATTGCTCTTTACTTAGAATTGTTTGGCAATTTTCAACTTGTGTCGCATGTAACTCAAAAAGGATTTGACATAGAGTCATTAAACCTTACGGGAAGGTTGCTCAGCATATGTAGTTGTGCACCTGGGGTTTCGCTTGTGGATTTAACCAGTATTTGTAGAGTTATTTCCCTTGACTTAGTAATGTTATTATGTTGTCATTTGTTCCTTGTGTGCTTGAGTTAGAATCAACCAACTTTACAGGAATAATTATCAACATCACTAAATTACAGGAATAATGATTCAAATCACTGTGAAGCTATGCACCACCTGCATGTTGATTTTTTTCAGTTTTGTAAGAGTTATTGCTCTTGACTTACAGTAGTATAAATTTGCAATTTTCAACTTGTTCATACATAGCTCCAAACGTATTTCACTTGTAGGCCTGAAAGTTTACAAGAATGTTGGTCAGCATGTGTACTTATGCCCCTTGGGGTTTGCTTGTGGATTTATTCAGTATTTGTAAAGTTCTTGCCCTTTACTTAGAAAAAGATTTTTAGTTTTCAAAAAATATTTGACCTAGAGTCATAAGATTGACAGAACAGTGGCGCGGTGGGGGCACCCGTGTCCTATGGACACATTTCTAGTTTACAGACTGAGATCGAAATTCATTTCACTAGTGACCATCAGATTTTAATTTCACGAGTGGCGTAAACCACTGTTTCATCCGTAGAAATAATATTAAACATAAACGACCCGCCCTTCGTGCCATATATCTGTAAAATGACACGTTTACCCCCGTTTTCAACAGCAATGATATCTGCCTGGTGTATGCTTTACTTTTGCATTTTTGTATATTATACCATAATCCATTTAAAAAATATGTCACTGGTTCCCCCACAGTGAGTGAGATGTATGTCTTTCAAAGATAGCTGTAACGCAATATACGCTATTTCGGTTGTGCTACTTTTGGTCGTCTTAAGCGTTTCTTATCTGATACACTGTCATTCCCGCTTCTAAACTGTTCTTACACTTAATAGACGTTGCATTTAACAAGTTTTGGTCGATAATTATTTTTTAAATAAAAATTTAAATCTAAGATTGTGTCATATTAGCGTCGCTATGAAGTTTAAAGACATTACGTTGCTCCGCTATTGAAATAAACGTCAATTTTGCAACACAAACTTTACGAACCTTCATTGCCTATAATGAAACGTTGAAAATGATACAATATTAAGTACAACTTGGAAATGAAGTCTGGCATTTGCATGCAGAAGGCAGCGACGATTTCGGGATGTAAAATTTCAAATAGCAGGCTATTAGAGATGTGGTCGACTGTGACATTTTGGATGTCTATTTTCCACTTTAACGCTACTTTTTGTGTACTGGCGTAATCCAGGTACGCATTACTGTGTTATTGTAAATGGCTATATTTCTTTAATTTAGTATTTTCATAGTTGAATGTATTGAACTAAATTTTTTACATCGTAGAAAAAATACACCAACCTTCAATAACATTATTTTCTTTTCACGTCTATAAAGCATAATCCTCAGTTTCCAGACAATAATTAGAGTTAAAAATAAGATACAATGTATTATGATCAAACTTGGTATATACTAGAGTTAGAAATGAGATATTGTAATCAAACTTGGTATATAGCAAGACCATATTATGTTGGAATTACTAATCTGCAAACCATGATCGGCTATCTCAGGAAATAGTCACTATGTATCGGGAAAACTAGGGCACCTGCCTCCGATCGTTATACTTGTCATTATTGCAGATAAGTAGTAGATTTACATTTACTTTTGTCTAATTATAACTCTGCTGTTCTATTGGAGTTTTTCTAAGTAACAAGGTAGATCATGGCTTTCCTGGTTTTATTCAATTGTTACCTCAAAGAAATCAAAGGAGTTTGATAAACGATCAATTTTGACACATTCAAGACCATACATAAGAATAAATCAAAATTTACATGGTAATAATTTTACAGCTGACACTGTAAATATTTCATTGAATACCTAAATTTGGGTTCATATTACGACGAGGGTCTTACAATTTGAAAATTAATGCATTTAAAAGAATATAATTTATTTGACATTACGTAGTCTATCGGGGTATTTAAAGAATCAGTTAATTACGTTTTTTGTGTATGCTTTACATTACATAGATTGTCTGTGACCTAAATATAACTCCGTTGGTATCGGATACCTGAAACGTTGATTAATGGATGTGTTGTGCGATCTGACAATTTATAAAGTACTAAAATTACAAAGAACTACTAACGTTTGACAATTTCGAATTATTATTACAATTCCTGGCATTGGCATTAAATAGTAATTTTGGGACCTTTCTGTTGAAAATGTGTCAGAGTAAAATCGTATGCATATACATGCACAGTGCGTTAACTGGAGTGCAGGTATTAGTTACCCGCACTCCAGAGGATGCCCATTGATTGGCTCATAATTGCTGGGGTTTACTTATTGTGACAGCAGAGAAAGGGAAAGCGACAGAAATATCATATTCAGATGCTCGTTCATTGGTTCCTTATTTTCTAGAGTTTCATATTGTGACAACAGGGAACGTGTTTTAATGTTTGACTATAATACAAAAGAAGAAGAACATCAAAACACTCGGCAATCTGATTAATACGCTGTGTTTTATTTAGAAAACAAAACACAAAACCACTTATACGGTTAGGATCTGTAAAATCTGATCATTCTCAGGCTTCTGTATCCAGAATATTCATGGCATGGTGTTTGACAAAGTGCATTTACAAAATAACTCTGATATCCTTAGTTTGTCCTCCATATCGGCAATGTTTCACTGAAATTGTTAAATAAATAACCCTTTGTTGGATGCTTTAATCGTCTACATGTTCCAGTTTGACACATAATTATTCACAAATCCACATTGCAATTACTTCCGATGAAAACGGATGTTTACTTTTTGACTATTCAAAAAAAAAAGATATTTTATACGCAAAAAGCACTCTAGGGTGCAAACAACTAAATTTTATGGATGTCATGGTTACTCTGGTGATGCCCAACTTCGAAAATAAGAATGAATCGAGAGAAAAAATGGCGGCTATTCTTATTTTATATTATTTTATTTCATTTAGAAAATAGTCCACATAGCCAGATTTTATACTGTTAAAAAGTACAGGTACCTATGTAACAGTACAAATATCTTAATCACGTGGTATTCTTGCATTAACAGTAAGTATAACTCGCAGAGGCATATGGGAAATTAACAAGGGGTAATAATAAAATTTGACATTTGCCTAACAAGGGGAAAAGTTAATGTATAGCAAAAAACAACTCATATAAATGTAGTAATTCAAAATGGAAAAAAAAAATTATTCTTAAAGTACTTGAAATTATATATGTTAATTCATACCAGGCAAAAGTTCGTTTCCATTTTCAAAGGGACAGACTAAAGTAAAACTTTAACTTAAGCTAACGTTGATTTAAAAAAAATAATAAAGAGGATATGAACATCAACCATAAGAAGTAAATAAGTCAAAATATGAAATAGTTTTAATCATTAACTGAGAGAGAAAAGGGAATGTCAATTCTCAAAACAATTAAAATACAAAAACAAATCGAATTTAGAATAGATTTTTTTTACATAGACCTGAAACTCTTACATATCGTGTTTACCATTGTAATGCTGTTTACGGTTATGGCATACTATGTATATAAACATATAATGATACATGCAATAAAAAGTTTGACTGTTATAAAATATTTTTTAACGCTCACCGAACGTTTCTTTATCATACTTATCCAGTTTTAGTATACATGTTCCTTTTCAAATAAAATAAATACATTGAACATTGAAAGGTGTTTTTTAACATTCAAATAAGAACATAGATAGGACGACGCCAACAGAACACCCGACATAACCTTGTTACACCAGCAGGTCACCAAGAAGGCACCGAACTAAAAACGGTAGAGGACACAAAAGAGCGAAAGGAGGGGAGGTAAATGCAATAAACAGGTAAAAATGCGCCACATGTTTAACGTATGTTTGGCACAACATATGTTTTCCATGTGTAAAACATATCTGTTTCTAATGTTTTTAAGAACATATGATTTTCATGTGTAGAATAACATGATTTTTTTTGTTAAATCAGGATAAATGTCAGTTGGTGTACATATGGTGCATTTTACTTGTGTGAAGCCTCCCACTTTGTCCGTCAGATGCAATCAAAAGAGAAAAGCGTAGCGTTGAATTGTAAGTGTAGAACACCAAGCATGATTTACGCATTTAAGATTAGTGAAATAATTATGTAATTTATGATAGCGATTACGTCTTTATATCAACGTCATGCATCAACATATCAAGGGAACATTAATATGGTTATACATATCTTCATAACAACGGAAAATGTTATACTATTCGACCAAGAAAAGTATTTGGGGTTGCTGTAACCCTCCGTTGCTCGAGTAACGCAAAGCCAACGTCATCGTCGGATACCCACGACAGAACCATTACCATTTATCAGCTGATTGCAAGTTAATCAACCGTATGTTTCCGACGATCAGCAAACGTATGCATCTGTAAAGTGTGTTCTAATAGGAGCACGAGCAGTACATAAATATAGAGAATATAATAGAATGAGTACATTCTTCAGACTAATATCATATTCTTCGGTCGGAATGCTTGATTTCCATATTAAAAAGACTTCTTTCAACGAAGCAGTAGCATAAATATATATGATAAAAACATAATTAAAGAACCAATGATCCTTTTATGTACATAAAAAATCAAAATCTAATGTTTTCTTATCACCTGATTCAAAAATGCATTGCAGACAGATTTCTGTCTCCCCGAAACGCATTTCAACAGTATTATGTTGAAGCGGTTTATCAAAATATACAGTACCGACTCGAAAACAGCTTTCATCAACGACGTACTTCGGACATTTTTCTGTAGATCCATATATTCCAAATCCTTCTGCAACATCAAATGTATCTGAAATAAAGTGTTTTTGGACGACTGTACCAACGGGAACCATTTCACCAGCTCGAACAAATGGACAGAACTTGTATCTGCATTTATAACAGTCGTTTTCGAAGACTTTGTATATCTCTGGGTCTGATCCATTAACAAAACGACTAATCGACTCTACTCCATAAGTATACTTGCTTATTCTTGATTTCATAACCGAAGGATTATGGCCAAACAGTACTGCTCCTTTTAAAACGGCTAAGCCAGGTTCGCTAGGTACGATGATTCTTTTGTTTGGAAATGCTTCTCTCACGCTCTCCTGAACTATCTCCGATTCAGAAAATCCTCCAACAAGTAATAACGTATCGATTTCTCTGACAATGCCTTCTTGTTTTCGTAATACACCAAGGTCAAGGACAATGTAACTTGTTCCTGGTTTAAAAGCCTCAGTAGATGTCGAATTGTTATGTTTCAGGCAGTCAACTGGAAGGAGCTTGCAAAACATGGAGGCAGCTTCAGGTTCAAGTGCTAAGGACAAACAATCTGACTGTATACCAGCCTGAAATGGAATGAAATATCTACAATTATTTATTAATCATGACTGACGAACACTCGATTGTTTTCATTTTTTAGGTAAATCTATAAATTTATAACTGTTACTTTCCGACACCAATAACATACATTCTAACACTATCGGAAATTTTTCTATATAGACAAAGAAGGCCCGAAGCGTGCATTATTCTGCAACAATGCACTCGCCGTTCTTATTATCTCCCTGTGTATTTTCACATTGAGGGCGCCATTTTGTTTGAAAAATCTGATAAATAAAAACAATTTTTTGTCGAATTTTGTTGTGAAAACTATCTAGAATGATAGAAAATGGTCTAACTAAGAAAATAAATCCGAACACCAATATCTTTAATTCAGTCGTTAACGCTGTACAGACGTTTAAAGTGTTGTTTACGTGACGTCACAATGTAGCGCACGTGCAAAACAATCAAAATCAAGTACGCTATTTTAACGTCGCAGACGAGTTAAGTTTTACATTTATTTCACTTTTAATAATTTGTATTTCGCTTGGAAAATTATAGAATGAAATAAAATAAACAAACAAAGTTTTATCAACGTTTTCAAAATTCGTTATTCTCAAAATGTTTCTACACACGGTAGATTTAACGACAGTTTTTTTCAGCCCACTGGAACGGCCTTTAAAGAACGTTTCTATTGGAAACTCTAAGGCGAAAACAAATTTAACCGCCAAACATAAAGTCCAACTTTATAATAATAATTATATTTTTTCTTGACGTGTTAGAATGGAAATGGATATTAATTCTTCGTGCATTATTGTATAATAATGCACGTTTTTCGTTCAAATGCTTTGTAATTAATCACTCAGGCCTATCGGCCTTCGTGATTATATTACTACGCATTTGAACTCAAACCGTGCATTATTCTACAACAATGCACTCAGAATTGATATCTATTTCCTAAATAATGATAACGCATATGCAGTTATCATAAGGTAACCAATCAAACGTATACAGTTAAACCAGTTATAAAAACAATTTATAAATGGATTTAAGAGATAATACAAACAAAATGAGCACCATTTTAGATGACGTGTGTTGACAATCTACAAGCCCGTATGATTCTAAGACATATATACCTCCAATGCAGCCTCCCTCATAAACTTTTTGGCTGCATCTGTCCATATTGCAGGTACAGTTAACACCCAAAATATATCCCGCTCTTCAAATTCTGTCATTTTCTTAGAGATTTCATTGCAGAGATGGTCTTTCAGAAATTTTATCGCAGACGAGAACACATGTAGAGCTGACAATGCCTTCTTGTTTTCGTCATACAACAATGTCTTTCTGGACAAGGTCTGATTTTAATGAAATTATAAACACAATTTATGTTCCATTTTTTACCATAATTATACTTTAAATACGAAAAAAATGTCATGGCATTGAAAACAGATTCCTTCAACTTGGCATGATGAAAAGAAAATATAATGATTTCGCCAATGTTTTAATTTGTTGTTTTTCTTATTTATTTTCATATAAAATTAAGAAAGAACATATCGTACTCAGAATTAGATTAATAAAGAAGTGTATAGTGAATTATAAAAGATTACTTTTTTCTGATGTAGAATCATTTTAAACCTCCTAAAGTAATACCAATCTTTATGAATGTCTTCTTCAGCAAGATCAGCGTATTTATCTTCTGCTTGATATCCAAATGAATGAAAAACTTTTTCAGGTGTAAAGAGAATTGTTGTCGGGGCCTGGAATAGATTTCAAAAGATACCGCATGAGTTCAATTTTCAAATTTTTCAATGATAATGTTTATCTTGACGTTATTGCCATAAGGTATTGTCTTTATACCACAAAGATTTTATATCACATCCCTGCGCAGCTTATTCGATGTGGAATGTAATAAAAAATATCTCATGTATACATATATTTATTAATATCATTATTACTACTATTAAATATATAAGCTATTTTCATTGACTTTATTAGATTAAGTGATGATGATATTTACCTTAAGTGACATGTGCCCTCCACCAATCCAATGGTTTGCTTGTATTTTCATTGGGTCTTTTTCATAGTCATGTGCAAAGGAGAATGCATATCCTGAATATGTTGTCCCAAAGTCTATAGCACCAACAACTAACTTTGTCGATGTCATTATGCATAAACTCTAAAAACAAATGAAAATCAAATATACTGATTTTTCTTATCTACATTGACTTTGAATTGTCAAAAGCTTTTACTCCATGTAACTGGTAGCATAGTTGTATCTCAGTAAAAATCTTATTAGAGTACCTGAATGGAAAGAATGATTTTGTGAATTTTACGATGGATAAATCGAGTTGCGCACATGCAAAAATCAACACTAAATATATATATAAGAAGGAATAGATTAATATTTTGTTAAGAACCACTATATTCTGTTTTCTTACATATTTTATTTGCACCAAGTATCAGAGAAAAATTTCCAATCTCCAAATATGACCAATAAAAAATTGACTTTACAGATTTCATCAGTAAACTAGTTATACTACATTGAACTATAAATCAACTTGTACAAAATTAAACTATTAACAAAAATTGACAAGATAGATGCGGATGCGGTTTATGAAGAAGACAAAGAAACTTTGTTGTTTCTAATATAGAATCAATAGTGGGCTATCCACATGGTTACGTCGCTTCCGATTTCGATAAAAGAGGCACCAAAGAAAGACAAACGAGATAGAACGACAAGAAAGATCATAGAATTTATTCAGTCACGAAAAAGCATTTCATTTTACAACTTCTAACCACTTGTCTCTCGCCGCTATCGGTTCGAGTCCAACCAGAGACTTTGGATAATTTCATGGGAGAAAGCTATCCAGCTAGTTTACAGAAAGTCGGTGGTTTTACTCAAGTACCCGCTCGTGCCTGTTCAAATAATACAAATGAGCACCTGAAGTCTTCCTCCTCTAGTCAAATGGAAAGTCGCAATATGACCTTTATAATGTTGGAGCGACTTTTAAAACCCAAACCAGATAACAACAACTTATATAAAGTTAATGCGCCATTTTTGGCGCATTAATATCTGCAGAAGCACAAGGATGCATTTTAACCTCGAGCCCGCAGATCCGAGAGCTTCTGATGTTTAATGCACCAAAAAAGGTACATCTGTGCTATACTTGCATAAAAAATTAAGTTCAAATGTGTTACTCCGCGTATGGTTGTGTTTCGTATAAAGGAACAATTGCTTGTTCGATGCTCGCTTTCCACGGTGCTAGAGCGACATCATTTGACGTTACGTTTTGATGATAAGATAACTGGGGCCATCATTGCATTAAGCTGTTTTTAAATTGTGCCCCGAATCACGCTTATCAAAAACTGTGAAACAACGGCGTGTGGTCACGAGAACCTATCCGTTAATGCATGTTTTGTCCCCTCTTATTGGAGAACTGTGTGTGCAGGTTTTATGCAAGAGTGTCTAAAATTTGATTAAAATGGCAAACGGTAGAGAAAATATAGTTATATGTATAATGTTTCTGGAGGATCTTGATTTAAACTTGCTGGATCTAAATTCTTCAGAAAAAAAACATAATATATGATAAAAATATTTTCTTATGTCGTAATAGAAATAGGCCATTGTCCTTTTTACAGATTTGAACGCAACTATTGATACAATTTTCCTCATACAATAACTTAACACTCTAAATAAATTACCTTCTGGGATATATGTGAAGTACAATTATAATAGTTAGCCTTAACGAAACTATTTGAAATGGTTTCAATGTTGACTATGTTATAATTAGTACATAATTAATCCAGTTATCATTGTTTAGTATATATGTTGGTTTCTGTGAAAAAAGATAAGTTCAATATAAATTTGAATATATTTTAGATATACGAGAAGTAATTATAACGACATATTGATGATTCATACAAATTTATAAAATACAACGCACTGACTGACTCGATAATTCATACAAATTTATAAAATACAATACACTGAATGACTTGATAATTCATACAAATTTACAAAATACAATACACTGAATTAATGACTTGATAAGTCATACAAATTTACAACATACAATGCACTGAATGACATGCAAAATTAATGTTTATAACCTAAATATATCGTTTATATCAAAAGATTATATAATGTATGAATGTTTATCACAAAATGGCGGAACAAATAATGCAAGAGTAAAAGAAAAGTTGAACTTGAAAAAAAAACAATAATTTCCATTGCCTTTTTAGCTTAAAAACCACTACTTGAAACCCAATTTCATTTTATGTTGATTATCTTAATTCATTAAATGTTTTGTTTGATTCTGATTCATTTTCTATTTATTAATTTACTTATTTATCGTTTTATATTCATCGTTATAAAAATGTAATTATAATTATGATATTATGTTTGACATATACGCATTTTCTGTTCAGTTGTATAGCACTCAAATTATAATACCCTATATCAACATAATTCTTTTATTCACTATCAAACAAATTTAAAACGTACACACCTTTAAAACAGCCAATGTATGTTCCAGTAGCACCAGTGATTCGACTACTCTCTGTTACTGATCGGTTTAATAATATATGAATAATAACTTGATCTCTTTATCTTCCGAGAAAAACTAACAGCACATAAATTCATTCTTGATGTGAAACGGAATAAGACTAAGTACTAATGGAAATAGATTTTGATTTTGCAAGATTATTTTTTAATACTATTGATACTTTTTTTTCTTCTTCGTAAAAAAGTCTTAAATGAGGAAATAGATCTGAATGAAGTAGTAAAAGAAAGCTCCAATGTCAAGCTACACCACCGTTCTTATATGCAGGATTTTGTGTGTGTTTGATTTCGTTTATATTATGACTAAACGCAATGGACGCAATTTAAGTGAATAAACGACGTCAAAATGAGGTTGTACAACACACAGATGCCTGACGTCTGATATCACCTTCATACCTTCTTATATCTATTAGCTACTTTTAAGAACGAAAGAACAGTCATTGTGTAGTTGTACATTTCAATACATGTATTTATTTTAGTCAGAAATGTGCTTTTTACTGGATCAAATTTTCATAATTTAATTTCATTATGATTTATGTTCCAAGTTAACTGTGCAAATTTGTTGGTAGTGTCGATTATATTAATGTATTCAAATTTTGAAAAAGATATCCTTGACTTTTTGTATATCAATAGTCACATTTATCCAAAATTGAAAGATAGCATGTATTACATTTTCATCTTAAATAGCAAATTCCATGCCGCATGTAAAGCATACAAACAAAACTCATTTTACTAATGAACAGCAATAGATCATTGTGGTTATCCCTAGTATCTAGTCGTGCTATCCTTAACATCTACATACTTATATCCAATATGAAACGTTTAACATATAGAACATATTCGTTATAATGATACTCGTTAGAGTGATAGCATCCCAGATTCAATGTACTTAAGTTATTGTACGTGTGACAGTGCGTGACTAACTTGTTAACCTAACTACATTTGAATTTCAAAAATAGAACATTTTTATAATGCTTATGTAACTTTACACGTGTTGTTAAACGTGAATTTGTTTCTATATAATATAATATACATTTCTATGTATTATTATAAAATGCAGCAAGAAAGTTCATTTTAATTGATAACATTGTTATTGCACAAATTGCGAAATTCGCTGCATTACTATTCGTAATTCAAGAGCGACAAAAGTGTTTTAAATAATTAGATATGGAATATCTTTTATCTCCCTTTAAGCGTCTGATACAATTTGCAACTACTTCTCGCCGCGTTTCGAATAAATACAGCTTTTCTTAAAAAAATATACATAAACTTTATGACAATATGTAAACATGTCATGTACATTTACAAATGTTATCAAGCTTTTATCATAAAAATGATATCAAAAAGAAATCGAGGCTTTTTTTCGAACATCTGATAAGTGGCACTGTTTTCGTGTCTATAAGATATATATTTCTGTTTTCCCCTATTGTCTGTTAAGATGACAAGTGTTGAGTATTCCTTGACTAAGTCTGGTTAGAAATTACGTTCCTTCGTCTGCACTAAATGAACTTTCTATACATTATAATGGTTGTGTACCTATACCATTTAAAAAGTAATTAACATTTAACCATATTTTGAAAAGGTCACTATGTAGGTCACTGGATATGTCATTCCTTAGTTCAACAAGGAGGTTAGTAGTTTTCCGGGAATGTACGGGTATTAGAGTATAACAACCGCCCTGCAAACCCGCTAAAGAGCTTATCATAGCGTAAGAAGGCGGGAATCAACAACGGAATATTACAAGAAACTCTGGTATATTTATATTAAAACTTTATGTCGTGGTCAAGAAGGCATTTTTTGTGTGTTTCAAGCACATTGTCTTGTAATCAACGTAAAATGTATTTATATATATCGAGCATTTTTTTAATTCTCTTTCTTTCATTACTTTGTAACTTCATTCCTTTTCTATTCTGTTGTGTTTGAACTGGAAATGCATTTATTATTTACTGCTTTAAATATGTTTTATTTAAAAACTTTTACTAATGTCAAACTAGCGGTATACGTTGAAAATTGAGCTCTTCAAAAGCTTGTGCTTATGGGGCGTACCAACTATATCTGATATTGATATTCCATGCATTAATCAGCGGTGATGTCTTATCTATGTCACTATCAAAGTCAATTGTGTACGGACGCCGTGCGCTTCAGAATTGGCAAGTTCATAAATGCATCAATATACGAAAACACTTTTAAATCAAGGACAGATATATTTGCAAAAGATATGAGTGGTCTTGCCGCTCAGTGATTTTTGAACAATTTAGGAAAATGTAAGTTTAATTTTAGTCTGAAATATATTTGCAGTAAAATTTAATTAATTGTATGATGCCTAGCGTTTAAAATTAATATTTTAAACGCGTTTGAAATCTACATTTTTAACGCTTTTCAAATGTTTTGTTTAATTGCCATGAAAGTTAGAATAATCACTGATTTTGATATTAAAGAAACGCAATGTATCGTTTATTGTTATGCTCCTCTTTTCTAACGCTTCTGGAATGGCATTTTTCTGTTTTAATGTATGTGTATGTTACGGTGTTCAATTAGCGCCAGCGCGTTTTCTCTGTGAACGAAAAGCGCGAAACATGACAGTACGATGGTGACAGTACGATGGTGACAATACGACAGTAGGATGGCGAAGCACGACATCAAAATGGTGACAGTCTGCCGTATTGTCACCATCGTACTGCCGTATTGTCACCATCGCACTGTCACCGTCGATCTGTCGTACTGTCGCCATTGTACTGTTGTACTGTCACCATCGAACTGTCGTACTGTCACCATCGTACTGTAATTTTAACGATGGCCTAACATACACGTTAATTCTTGTATTGATGAGAGTAATTTGAAATTGACAAAAATAATCCAAATCTTTTAAGAAAATACTATATTTTACAAATAAGTCAAAATACAAAATTTCTAGATAAGTGTTATCTGTTGAAATACAAATTATGAAGACCCAGATGTACATTTTTATCATAAAGCTTTTTATTCATGTAGATAAATTTTGATTCTTTAACTTTCATTTCCTTGATAGTTGATCTTTGATACCGTAAAAAAATATAAACCGCCGGTATAAGTTTTAAGTTCCGCAAGCCATGCTGAGTGAAATGTGTGTACATGCTCGACAGGAAGGCAACAGTACGATGGTGACAATACGACAGTACGATAGTGACTGTGCGACATTACGATGGTGACAGTACGACAGTGCGATGGTGACAATACGACAGTACGATGGTGACAGTACGATGGACTCTTACAATCGTACTGTCTCGTTTATCCATCGTACTGTCGTATTATCATCATCGTACTGTCGTACTGTCACAATCGTACTGTCGTACTGTCACCATCGTACTGTCATGATTCGCGCTTTCCGTTTTCAGAGAAAACGCGCTGGTGCTAACGGAACACGTAGTAGTGGCTAGTGATGCGATAAAAACTGACAAAATCTATTATTTTTAATTTTTTGATAACATAACAATGTATATAGTATATATAGCGTATGTGCAGACCATGATTAAATAGTACTTCTTGGTTTGCACTGTATGCACGGGTAAATCGTGAAACCGCTAGCAATGTAAGGGTTAATCACTAGATAAATCGTATGTCAGTGGTCTCTGTAGTACCCAATGTGCTGTATGACAAATTTAGTTAAACTAGCAACTTTTTGAAAATTCACTGTAGTTTTGAAACAAACAAAAGCTTAAACAAATTGACATTCTCTTTAACCCTAAACATGCTGATTTTTTTAACTTTCTAATTTTGAAACCGTTCAAGAATGATGAAAATTGATGAAGTGGTCAGTTCCTGATGCGATTGGGCGGATGTACTTGCTGGCCAGGTCTTTTGTTTCCATTTCAGCAATGAAATGGTTAAAAGCCACTTGCAGACACGAAAGTTCATAACTAGGCCCTACTTCTGTGAATCAGATGACATACTCATCTTTAAAATTGTAAGAAATATTACGTAAATTTTCTACATCTAACGACGAAAATGTTAGCTCTTAGTCTAACTCTATGACCTTACACAGAAAATGTTCGCATTGACCGCGCATCATTAGTTTTAAAGAAATGAGCCGCGTCACGACAAAGCCAACATAGTGCTCATTTTCTGAAGTATTTTAGAATATTTTGAAGTATTCTGAAGTATTTTAGAATATTTTTTTACAAATTGACTGGAACACAGTGTAAGGTCCGAGTGGAATCGGCATGTTTTCTGGCCTAATAGCTAATAACCACTTTTAGAGCCCGGTTTCGTTTCACTTCTCCAACACTTCGGTGTCTGAAAATCAAACACTTTCACAAATGTCAGCTGTTAATTACAACCAATGCACATCCACTTCCAGTGCCTCCCACGTTGCCTCTCCCCTGGTTCGATCGGCATATAAACGTATCCGCATGATAGAACCCTATGATAGTGATTGAATTTTTAATAACATACTTGATTAAATCCGGCTAAATATGAAAACACGTTTCCTTGTGTTCAACCCTGTTCAGTTATCGTTTAAAGAGCTTAGATGACCAGAACGCGATTTTACTGTTAAAAAACTGTAAACAATATGGCGGACGACTTAATTGTGCGTCATGTCCTGAAATGTTTTGTTAAAATGTTATGTTTATGCTTATGAGTGAAGATATAAACACTTAAAGCCCAATTGTTTTATTACTTTTTATCATATTTCTTGGAACTACTTTGAATAGTGTCTCTCACGTGCAGACAGAGTAAATATTGGGGTGCACCACGGGTGGATAAGATGTTCATTTCATCACAGTTTTACCTTTTCCCCCGAAATAACACTGAAAAGCATGAAATAAATAGAATATTTGATTTTTTCAGAGTGAGATCGAAATTTATTTCACGAGTGACCATCAGATTTCAAATATTTTCTGGAGCGGCGTAAACCAATGTTTCATCCGTAAAAATAATATTAAACAGAAAAGACCCGTCCATCGTGCCATATATCCGTAAGATAACACGTTTACCCGCGTTTTCAACAGCTATGATACCTGCCTGGCGCATACTTTATACATGTTATGTTCCGTCGGCATTTTTGTATGTATTTCATATACCATAATCCATTTAAAAAATAT